AAAGAGAGAGAGATAGTATTAAAACTCGGCCATTACCACGTCATTTCGGGCAGTCCCTCGGAAAAAGGTGTTTCCGCGTTGACAGCAGATCAATAGTCAATTTTCTACAGGATCATCAAAGGTAAAGAAAAAAATTAGTGTTTGAACTAAGACCATTAACTAGGTATTTGGATGAGAAACAAAAAAAAAGAGTAAAAATTGCTTTGACGTTTTTACAAAAACATGCAAATTTTGGCGAAAATTTCTCGACGTTTTTAGTTTTTAAATTGTTGTAAGTAAATCCTCCGCGACAAGACCTTGTAAATTATATCTCAAAGACATGTGTAAAATTTCATTACAACAAGATCGGTTGAGTAGTTCGTGTGAAATCTTGACAACCGACTTGGAAAACACAGTTTCTAGAAAACGCATTTAAAATTTTAAGTGACTATATAGCTGACCTCAAGCGCGCAACTTTTCAAAGCTGTATCTCCAAAACAATTACTGGTATCAACTTGAGAATTTAGGACAATATTCTAGAGATGTTATAAGATAATTTAAAACAAGAAGAAACGTTAACTTCGGTTGCGCAGAAGCTATAATACCCTTCACAAATACAAAGGCCCTTACAAGAACTTGATTCCGAACGTTCAATTTGTAGTAATATGGCAGCTATATGCTATAGTCATTCGATCCATACAATTTCTTAGTTGATTAGATTAATGCTTTAAATAATAATACATGCCAAATTTCGTGAAGATACCTCTTCAAATGAAAGAGTTTCCCATACAAGCACTTGATTCCGATTGTTCAGTTTGTATGGCAGCTATATGCTATAGTGGTCCGATATCGGCCGTTCCGACAAATGAGCAGCTTCTTGGTAAGAAACAGACTTGTTCAAAATTTCAGATCGATATCTCAAAAACTGCGGGACTAGTTCGCGTATATACAGACGGACGGACAGACAGACGGACATGGCTAAATCAGCTTAGCTCGTCACGGTGATCATTTACCTATATATATACTTTATGTGGTTTCCGCCGTTTCCTTCTGGGTGTTACAAATTTCGTGGCAAACTTAATATACCCTGTTCAGGGTATAAAAAGTTGTTTTTTTGAAGCCGTGAAACCCATGTAACTTAATACTTGTAGAAATAAAAAAAAATTTAAATTTGCGTTTACTATTTAAGCAGCGTGTTGCAAACGAATGCTTAACTCGGAAAAATTATCCATGAGGTATACCTATAACAACTAATTATATTATATTTCAGCTGTTAAACAAATAATCCATTTTGTTTGTGTTTTGAAAGAGAGAAAGCGTTTCACCAAATTTCTTTGTCCTGTTTTCAACAGAACAGCGCTTATACTAGGTTGCTGTTTTAATGAAAAACCGCTAAGTAAAACAAAAGGACGCTCTATAAACATCATACATGTCGCATACAGGTCCTTTCCATTCGAATATTTTATACACCGCGACACATAGCTTCGGGTTTTTCGATCACCTAATACGTCACTATTAATGCCATAACTACACCTACGCCTTGTCAATCGTCAGTCTTCTACTTTTATGTTGCTGTTAATTGTTTATGATTCTGTTTAAAAATAACGAAATGCAAATAATACAAAATATTTATTCCTCGGTTGAGAAAGTCTTTGCAGTCGTCAATATTCAGGTGTGAAGATGCCGCGTTCACTTAATTTATATTCAATGTTCCAATGTCAAAACTGTTGAAATCGGCATTTTGCTCTATGAAATCGCCTAAAAATCATACAAAATATACTAAGTGTAATGCAGTCGACGCTGTGACGACAGCGAATGAATCGGCGACCACCGCTCGCCCACAGCTACACAGCTACAGGCGGCAACAGCACTCTAGCTATCAAAAAAGTGAAATTATTTTTATTTCATATAAATTAATACAATTTGTTGTTGCGTTTTGAATGGCGTTCTTAATTTAAAAAAATATATATATTATTGTTTTAATAAATAATATATTCATCATCTCTATTTTCCTGAAACTTTTATACATTTAACTTAATTCAAAAGCAATCTGCGTCTTGTATTATACGTGTGCATATCTGAAAAAAAATATTACTTTACATATTAATATACATACATACGTGCTTTCCGTTTAGGTGCGACATTTTGAAATGACAAGTTAAAAAGAGATGGGTCAAAAAAGCACTCGAGCACAAAACAACACAGTGGCCTTCAAAGAAGAATTTTTAGTTATTTTCAAAAGAACCATCTTTCTTCCGCAAAAAATTAATTTAGAAAGTAAGAATATACGCGTACTTTACGTCCGACAGCTAATTTTTGGCATTGTTTGAGAAATTAATACAAAAAATACTTCGGTGAATTTAATAATAACTTCACCGGAAATCCATTATTTTTTGTTAAATATTTTTTAATATAATTCTTCAATGTAGTATTTTTGGAATTTGCAACTGAGCCACTACACCCCAGGTCAACGAAAATCTGGTGTATTTTACGTGATGGGAATCCCGGGAAGGCTGTTTACTTTTTGCGTTGTGAATATAACCAAATTAGGTTGCCGGGAACATATTTGGATTCACTGTTACTAGCGCCACCGATCGTTTTTATGCAATTTATTTTGTGTTTCTAAAACTAACACGGTCAGTCTGTAGTCGGGGACTCCAACCAAGCTTTTATTGTCTTATTTAATTCTATAACATCTCTAGAATATTTTCCTAAATTCTCAAGTTGATACCAGTAATTGTTTTGGAGATACAGCTTTGAAAAGTTGCGCGGTTAAGGTCAGCTATATAGTCACTTAAAATTTTAAATGCGTTTTTCTAGAAACTGTGTTTTCCAAGTCGGTTGTCAAGATTTCACACGAACTACTCAACCGATCTTAATGAAATTTTACACATGTCTTTGAGATATAATTTACAAGGTCTTGCCGCGGAGGATTTACTTACAACTATTTAAAAAACAAAAAACGTCGTGAAATTTTCGCCTAAATTTGCATGTTTTTGTAAAAATGTTTACCAAAAATACAATTTTCACTTTATTTGTTTTTTCTTATCCCGAAACCTAGTTAATGGTCTTAGTTCAAACACATATTTTTTTTCTTTTTTACTTTTGATGATCCTTTCAAAAATTCTGCTGTCAACGCGGAAGCACCTTTTTTCCGAGGGACTGCCCGAAATGACGTGGTAATGACCGAGTTTTGAATATTTTACTTTGAAAATTTCACAAAATCTTTATCAAATATGTAGCTTCGGAATTAAAAAGTTTGAATAAAATATTTAATTTTTATATGAAAAAAAATATTTAAAATAGGCCGTTTTTTGCTCGACGAAACTCATGTAAGCCCTTAAATCCCATTAGAAATTGAGTAAAATTGTTATTGTACTTGGAACTCGAACTGAAATATTTTACCGAAATAACTACAAGTATATACGAGCACATTTATTTTTATTGTAATCCAGGAACCAACTCACATTTACTTTAGGGCTAAGACATTTACCTAAATCGATTTGGTATTCAAATAAGAAATCATCTTCATTTAAATGCACAACACTGTCGATATTATAATAACCGCCTCCACTTTTGTGCCGCTCTTCTACGGCGCTCGTTTGCTAATTCTTCTTTTTTTTTACCGCTTCTATGCAGTCATAATTTCCCTGTGACAAAGGCGTATTGAGTGAAGAAGTTCGATTGGCGGTGGCGTTTGCCGCTCTGCTTTAGTTCTTCAAGATCACGGTCGTTAACAGTACCGTGTACGAGATTCTTTGCACTCGGTATTTTGTTGAATTTTTCGCAAACATTCAAATATTCAATAATTAAATTTTCGTCTCGCACTACATAGCGGCATACATTTAGGCGTCTCTCTCGATAATTAGTTTGTAACTAGTTTTTGTTTACCGTTCGGGTCGCTAATGTGCTGTCTGTGATCGTTAGCAATTGGGATTGCTGGAAATGTTGCCAACATTTCAATTAGTTGCAAGCGTTGTTAAGCAGCTGTGCACCTCCCAATTGCACCAGTATCAAAGCAATTCCAAGTCGAATAATAAACTGCTGAAATTCAAACGTTCGGCATTGACATCAGCGGCCGCCCTGCTCTGCCCAACAGTCTATGCTGCTCATGCTCCACCAGCTTTATTGCAGGCCTCCGCTGTAGGTTGCATATTTTTCTCCCACACCCACACAAGTGCGTCGTAGTATTATGTGTGTGTAAAAACTGTGATTACAATAAAATTACTAATAAAGCTAACTAAGAAAGCTAGTACGAAAACAAAAATTAAAAAACATGTAAATTATTAATAAATTAGCGAGGTGATCTACATTAAAGATGCTAAACTTTGTAATTTCACGTTTTTGTTGTATGTGTGTTTATGCTTTTTTTTTGTTTATATACATTTTTGTGGTCATATTTGATATTTTCGTCACCTCTCTTCGCACCCATTCAACGTTTCTTCACCGTTTTGTGTTCCTAAATGTTCGTCTGTTCTTGTTCTGTACACATGTGTGTGTCTGTGTGTGTTTATTATTGTACATCTTCGCATATTTCATGCAGAATTTAAGATCAGCATAGCAAAAACAAAAGACACAAACTGAAAAACGCCTAATTTTCTTTTGCCTCTTGTATTTTGTGCATTTATACCGTTCGCAGGCGCATATCAATGTTGTACACATAACAATTGAACCTTTAACAACAACATCAACTACAACAACAAAAAGCATACACATTGCCGATAGTAAACAGAATGAGATTAACACTTCGCCAACAACAACAACTACAACAGCCACATCGGCAACACTAACTGATAATGAAATCGAAACCGAAATCGAACTTGAAACGAAGAGTCTAAGCGATTGCATAGAATCGAATAATAGTTCACCTCGAACTGAATCAATCACAGTGACGGAAGTGTACGATTATACAATTGAAAGTGAGAAATTAGGAACGAAAAGTGCTAATGAAAAACCAGTGCAGGTAAAGTGATCACTCGGATACACACATCCCCATGTATGCGCCGACTAGTGTTCGCCACTACACATTTTTACTGCAGTAAACTTACAACCACATTCTGGTTGTGTTAAATTAGTATTTGAGAGGCTTGACAATCTCCCACAAGTAATTACTAGTTTGCAGTTTTTGCGTGAGAGTATTTCTGAGCTTACACCGCGTCTACCTAAAAAAAATGGGTCTTTCTCCCAAGATTTCTGTGCAACATATCGCGATAGGCGCCCATTTTGTATGCCTTTCTTCGTTTAATTTCATGTTCTAACGCTTTGATCATTTGTTGAAAAAGGTTAAATAAGTTGGCACTAACCTTTTAAAATCGGTACTTTTCGTAGCGGTAGCATCAGGAAAACTCCTCCGTTCACGAAGTTACTAAATTGTTTCGGTTGTATGAAAAGCTTCGGCATTGAAAATTGAATCGTGCCCGCTAAATTGTATGTAAAGGAACATTATTTTAGATTCTTCAAATTCGAAATTGCACCAAATGACTTATAAACCGTTTGAACATAAATTTATAACTTCACAAGTTTCGTCTTTTGTCTTATGTGCTATTTCAATAGTCTTAAAAAATACGACACTTGTAAGTAGCCCTTAATCGTTGTATGTCATATTGTGTAATATTTCTTCACTTCACCAGCTGGTAGTGAAAAATTAAGAATACAAAAATGCCACGGGAAAGTGACAAAAATAAAATTAAAGCTTCTTTATGTTGAACCGCCGGCATTTTGGTTTACATTGCAACCACAGAAACAACAAAATATTTTTATATTTCACTTTTTTCCATTGTAATTTACCTGAATATCGTGGCCTTTTATTTTATTAATTTTAGACACTTCAACGTCAACAATAAAAAAAGTAAACAGATTCAGCTGATAGAATGGCACAATTAAAAAAACATACCTCACCGTGTTGTATTTGTCGTATTTCAATTTTGCATAGAAAATAACAACAGAGTTGATATGATAGTCATAAAAATATAAGACAATGTGACACGTTGTGAATACGTTACGAATTTGCAATGTACTTAAAAATAACTGATATATATACTTTTTTTTTAAAGCGAAAATAATTGCAAGCTCCAAAATTGTGTATGCCGTTGCATTAGAAAGTTCTATAAATATGTATAATATATGTGCCTTAAGAATCGACAAGTAGGCAGCTTTCCGCTTCGCTGTTGTGTTAAAATGTTCTATATATAATATATAATTTTTAATTTTTTAAATTATTAAACGAAAGCATTGCCTTAGAATCTAATTGAAATTACGTAAATATTTTGTTTTTAAACCAAAGTGTGTACTAATGATGATTCGTACCTTTTAGATTATACCACAATTTGGCAATTTATCAGTCAATAGCAACAGCAACAATAATCAACAACAAAAGCAATATGTGCCCGACTCACCGATTGTACAGGAGCCGCCAACACCCACCGTCTATGGACAGGCTGCGGTGCAGACGCCGCATTTCCCACAGGCTGCCCAACGTCAAAGCTATGCAGCACCACCTGCATCCGCTGCCTACCAGCAGCAACCCATCTACCAGAATCAATACGAGCTTAACGCGGCTGCAATGCCGCCGCCGCCAGCCGTGGGCACAGGTGGACGTCGCAATGTGGCACGAGGTTTACAGTACCGCGACTCTGCTTACGAGTCACGCCGCCAATCGCAGGCCATCGGCGGAGGTGGTGTGCCGCCAGGCATTCTGTCCATTGAGAAGTTCCGACTGCTAAGCGTGCTGGGTCGCGGACACTTTGGCAAAGTCATATTGTCGCAGTTGCGCAGCACCAACCAATATTATGCCATCAAGGCGTTGAAAAAGGGCGATATTATAGCACGCGACGAAGTTGAATCGCTGCTGAGTGAGAAGCGCATCTTCGAGGTAGCCAATGCGATGCGTCATCCATTTCTGGTCAATTTGTACGCGTGTTTCCAGACCGAAGTGAGTTGTTGCTATTTTATGTTTAGCGATTATAATTCTTCTTTTTTTTGTTTGGTTTTTGTAATGTCGTTTGATTGCATTTGCTTTTGCAGCAACACGTTTGCTTTGTTATGGAGTATGCGGCGGGTGGTGATCTGATGATGCACATTCACACCGACGTATTTTCGGAGCCGCGTGCGGTCTTCTACGCCGCTTGTGTTGTACTTGGGCTACAGTATTTGCATGAAAACAAAATCATATATCGTGATTTGAAACTGGATAATCTACTTTTGGACACAGATGGTGAGCGCATAGTCACGTGATAAGCTGCTAAACTTCATGTTTCCTCTAATCCAAACTAATTTTAGGTTATGTAAAAATTGCTGATTTTGGTTTGTGCAAGGAGGGCATGGGCTTTGGCGACCGGACGGGCACTTTCTGTGGCACACCCGAATTTTTGGCGCCCGAAGTGCTCACAGAGACGTCGTACACACGCGCTGTGGACTGGTGGGGTTTGGGCGTACTGATATTCGAAATGCTTGTCGGCGAGGTAAATGAGCGTATCAACAAACTTTGTGTAATATATAAAACACTATAACAATTGCAGTCTCCATTCCCCGGCGATGATGAGGAGGAAGTTTTCGACTCGATCGTTAACGATGAAGTTCGCTATCCGCGATTCCTGTCACTGGAGGCGATCGCCATCATGCGTCGGGTAAATTGAATATAGATTACAATAATACTTGTGCAATTACAAACGGGTGAACATCTTTTATACACATTTTAGTTATTGCGCAAGAATCCAGAACGCAGATTAGGTTCTTCGGAACGCGATGCGGAGGATGTGAAGAAGCAAGCGTTCTTCCGTTCAATCAGTTGGGATGATTTGTTGCTGCGTAAGGTGAAACCGCCTTTTGTGCCGACAATAGTAAGTATTCACCCTAAAATGTATAAGATAACGATAAAAAATAATTAAAAATTTTCTTTCACAGAACCATCTTGAGGATGTGTCGAACTTCGATGAGGAATTCACCTCTGAAAAACCGCAGCTGACGCCTCCAAAAGAGCCACGACATTTGACTGACGAAGAGCAACTGTTCTTCCACGATTTTACATACACAGCCGACTGGTGTTGATATCTCGCAAATGCGCAGCTAAATTCATTGTAAAATATAGAGGAAAGCAACTCATCTACGCCAACTTAGAGAGCGAGAACGGTGTGAATGAATTCTCCCCTTTGGAACTATGGAGGAGAATTGTTGGTCGTTTGGACACTTATTTTTCAGTTTGAAATATTCGATTTTGTAAAATGTTTCGCTCTAACTTGTTCAAATGTTTGGTGTGACCATCGCTGTTTAATTCGATTTTGTATTAGTTTAAGTAAACAGTAATTTGAATAGAACACATAGTTCGGCTAAGTATACAAAACAATATGCATTATTACATAATAAAAGAAGCATGTTATTTAATAGAAACGTTATTTAAGAGAAGTGAAAAATTATTTATAAAAAAAAACAATTATACATACATATACATATACTATATGCGAATAAACATACAAAAATATATACATGATTTATGTAGAGTTCATTAAAATATTAAAAATCGCGAAATTAAAGTTGGTTAAACTAAAAAGGATTTTCATTGATTGCTTTAATCAAATTTATAAAGAAACTCAACTAATTAAGTGAAGCTAATTTTTTAATGTTTGCAAACAAACAACCGACTAACAAAAGCAGCTATTTGAAAAATGTGCGCGTAAGAATGTATACAAAATATCGCGCGAAAATTGAAGAAAACTTCTATGCATTTTATTTGAAAAAAAATTGTGTAAAATGAGAAATGAAAGATTTTTAGTAGAAATAAAAATATTGTATTATGTTGAAGTCAAGAAATGTCTGCATGCCTTTAGACTAAGTGGAGTTTAAATTAAGTAAATTGTTGATTTTAACAAAAATTTGGATGCTAGACAAAAGTACATTTTACCGTTGCAAGTTTTTTTTTTTAGCCCATTTACCTAACATAACTGGAAAAGTAAACTCGTTTGGCTAACAGAAAGTAACTGAGTTAGCAATTCTGCATAGCATCCACAAACAAAAAAATTGTTGTAAATATTTTTTGTCATTCTTACAACAAGTTTTACACACATACACACATGCATATACACAAGCAATAAATACTAAAAATAAAGTATGCGATAAATACGTATATAAATATACATACATTTTCATATTATAATTATATACGGAAAATATAAAGCGAACATTGAAATGATACTGAAAACGACTTTACCAAGTCTAATCCACAATCTAATCTTATATGTAAGGTTACGCTTTTCTGAATTAATAATGCAGTTAAAACAAGTAAAAAAAAGTAAGCGGAAAATACAGTTTCCGTTTTGAAGAGTTCTACAAAAATTTGCTCAAAACTTAAACATAGTTTGCAGTTGTGGTAATAAAAAGCTGCAATTCCAAACTTAATTTTTTTGTTATTTTTATAAAGTAGAGCAACTTAAATTTTGAATTTATTTTAAATAATACTAAAGGTGCGACGAATTAAACGTCGTTGAAGTATTTTGCCCAATAATGATATCAAAAATTAAAATTTTACCTTATTTACCGTTGGTTTTCATTTGTAGTTATAGACTTTCGATACATACATATTCAAACAACTAAACGGATTATTCTAAAATTTAGTGAAACTGATTGAAAACACTTTTGCTTGCTTTAAGCTATTTTGCGTATCTGCTTACACATGCATTATAATACTGTATTCATCATCTGTTTGTAATCGCATTATTTATAATTATTGTTTATAATATACATTTTCCCTATTAGTTATTACTTTGTTTTTGAATAATTTTAGTTTCTTATTTTAATTATGCTTAAACACTTATCAATGAAAATATTAATTTCAATTGTAATAAATACGTATTAAATTAACGGTTATTTTTTCAATGAATCATGTGTGGAAGTTGTTGTAGCGTTAAAAATTATTTATAAATACATTGGGGACCTTGGATATCAATATAAATATATATATATACCTATATACTCGTATAGGAATCGCCAACAAAATCTTTAGACATGAACTGACTGTAAGCACTGAATTGAAACAAAAACACAAACAATGTGCAATTAAACATATTTATTTTCACAAAAGTAAAATTCTTCACATTAGGTGTTAGAAGATGCGTTAATAGGGTATATTCCACCATGTACTATTCAAAGCTGTACATGCTTCGGTGGGTACATTGCGAAAGTGATAACCGGTGACAGCCTTATTTCCTCCCCAATTTGTTAACTTGCCAGTGGCATCATATAATTTTACCAACAACCAAAATTCGGTAGGACGAAGTGAATTGGCCAAGTTGCCATATGAAATGACTAAATCCCAACCTACGTAGCCGCCGGTTTCAGCTACATAATTGTGTATCAAACCCTCTACATCGAACCAACCACGTTGTGGTGCTCGTATGCTATTACCAGACAGCAGCAGTTTTCGATTAATCATAGGACTTAGTGGTACAAAATTATACGCCTGCAGTGTACCACCTAAAGACGGGGCCAATAGATGACCAGCTTCATCATTTTTGTCCCGCTCCAATTTTTGTAAATGTTCAAGTACGGCTTGAGGTTCTGGCGACTTCTCGGTCGTCAAATGTTTATGATGTATTTCAGCGTTCATTGACACAGTTAAGTCAATTGTTGAACCTTTCTTTAACTTCGAATAGGACTTGATGGCAGTTTTGCGATCATTAACCTTTACTGTTACATAGTAGTCATCTTTTACGATATCGGTTATGTAATCAGTGATGAAATTGAATTCAGTGCAGGCCTCATTGGAGCCGCCATAGTTCATTTGTCGCTCTATTCGTGGATATAAAACACCGCATCTCAGTTTTGATTCCTTGCTACAATATGATTTTGGATTGACTAGAATCGGGCAAAAAGGTGGCGTTTGTTGTACTTTTCGAATTATATAATTTTTATCATTCAAAAAATACATGTACTGAACGCCATCGATTTTAAATGGAAACGATAAATGGTAATAATCTTCCCATAGACCCACGGCATGCACCCTTCCCATTTTGCCATTTGGTTTAAATTCTTGTATGAACCAATCCTTTTTAGAGTTGTTCAAGCCATAATAGTATTGCTTGCCACGCATAGAAAATGGGTAATATTGTATAGGCTTTTTTCTACATTGTCCGTTTACGACCTCCTTACCCATTTTACCACCGCTGACGACTTCCCTTGTAGACCATCTAGCAGCATCGCTTAGGTAAATAAATTGCCTACCGTGAATCGAAAACGGAAATCCAAGGGTGTAATATTTTGGCCATTTTCCTTTATCAGTTTGTTTACCTACGGTTCCAACTGATGTCAATTGTTTTATGTACCAATTTTGAGATGAAACAGTCAGTACAAAATATTCACGATTAACATTAACTGGGAATATAAGATTGGGTGTTGAATCCCAATATCCCTTGGATGTCTCTTTACCTAAGCGTCCGCCGGTTAAGATTTCTTGAATAAACCAATAATTCGTTTCGGTAATGGCGTACAAATATTGTTTGCCTTGAACATTGTAAGAGAATCCCTTAATATAATAATATACGAATTTCCCTTTGTCTGTTTCCGGGCCAAATATTCCATCACGTAATAATTCCTTGATGAACCAATTATACCCACCCAAGGCGAAAAAATAAGTTTTACCATCCATTTTGAGTTCAAAGCACAGTTCGTATTTTTCTGAAAAGTAACCGTTCTCGGTTTCATTCCTGATCGCCACTCCAATACAACTGACATTAGCAATCGCTAAAATAGCATATAACAACAACAACAACATTTTATGATACCACCAAGGTGTTATATCAGTTTTGACTTTCCTGGAGTTGAAAAATAAATTAATTTTGTTACTACTCTATCACTGCAGAGTTTGATATTAAGCAGGTAGCAGTACCGTTATCACATTGCACGTAAATTTTGTTACAAAAAGTTAGAGAAGTGCCGTCTTCTGCTAAACTGTCGGAAAGGAGCAAAATTAATGTTATTTCTGCCGTTGAAAACGGTTTTAAAGTTTCGAATTGCAAATTTATTTCAAGAATTTATTTCAATTTGCTAGTGCTGTAGCTATTCAACCGTTCTGGCGGAATAATGAAATAATGTTTAGGACCGTAACGAATATTAAATTTGTAATAAAAATGGAATTTAAATGTTTTCGATAAAGTTAATCGATTATTTTTCGTCGATAAAAAATAATAAAAAATTATGAATATTGTTATAAACAGTAATTTAAAGTGTTAAGAAAAATCATATAGAGTTCTAAGAATATTTGCTCAAAGCGAACATATTAAGTGTGTCAGTTTTATTTAGTTTTGAACATTAAAGTAACTATAACTAAATTAAAACTATTGAACATTTTAACTGTTCGAAACTATTATTGAATTTCATTTTAACTCATTTTATATGAAATTAGTTTTTATTTTTTCAAACTTAAATAATGGATAATTTGGATAATTAGTGCTACAATAATCCATTCCAAGGCCAAAATTTCCGTTACAAAAATGGCGGACAATACTTTTGCTTAAATCAACAAGAATATATAAATATATTTTATTATTTGGTAAATGATTTCTTTTACTTTTTGAGTATTTAGTGTTAAAAAATTATGCCAATTATATATTTTAGAACTTTTTTGATCTTGCAAATGAAAAAAAAATAATAATAAAGTTGAAATTCATTTAAAAATACAATGCTATAATATTATAATTACGTGCCTAATTGCATATGAATGAAAAACCTCACACGAAGTGTATTTAAAAGTGCTAAATATTATATAAATCCCTTGAGAAAATAAATTACAAATTCATATGTAGTAAGAACAGTAACTCCAATAAGGCCATTAATATTTTGCCAGTTCAGACCCTATTTATAGAAATATATACATATATAAATAATAATAAAACATATTTTTACACTAAGATCATAAACGTATTAATTAAAAAGGATTAACAAATAAATGATTGTGTAATTAATAAAATTATAAATGCTTCATTGTCATAAATTGTGAAAATTAAATTTTCATATATGTAGTCATTACGTATTAATAAAGTTCAAAAAGTGATTCATATTAACACCAAAAATAGTTCCTATTTTATTTATAAATAAGCATAAAAACCACAATGACAATTTTTTTTTTAACATTACATACATACAGTGAAGGAGAGAGTCTCTGCTACAATTTTTTGCAGATATTTTTCTCCAACAATTTATTACAATCAGCCCCGGGCTTCGCTTTTATATTTCGGAGACCAGTTACCGCCGAATGAATTATGGTAAGAAAACCACCGTTTTCCACAACATCTAGACGTGGGACGTGGTGTGTGTTATTCTATTTTTTGATTACCCCCGAAGATATTTGGTAATATAGAATATTTGATGATGTATCGCAAACGGCAAGTGTAATGTATGTACTGAAATATTAAGATAAGCTAAGGATCATATTTTCTACAATAATAGTTTACTTCTTTTTATCTATCATCCAAACACAGAAATTGTGAAAAAAACAGACTTGCCTTTTGATTAGGAATTTCTGAATATTTTCAATATCGAGGAGGTTTAACGGTTGACTTGACAGTACAGGAATAAATGCTACAAAAGCGTCGTCACGTTTTCCTTGTAAATAAACTAAGTTCAAATCAGAATCATAACATTTTTCCAAATTCGTAACTCGGCTATCTATTAATACAAGATTTACATTATGTTTATTCTTTATTGCCATTAAAAGTCATTGAGCATATTTACCACATTGCAAGTCCAAAAACACTCGAGCGCCTAATGCACATTTCACCTGGTCCTTGCTGCCTAGCACTTGGAAATCTCGCAGCTGTAAAATATAAACAAAACATAAACAGTTTCAGAGGCTTTGTTTCGCTGCTCGATAAAACTGTGGTTAATCACAGCTGTTCACTACGGCGCTAACACCAACCGTCTCAACCAAATTCATCGCAACTCTAGCTGTAGCTTTAATCGAGTAGACAAAAATGTGTAGGAGATTCAAATTGCAGCTGCTTTTCCAAGCGCAGAAACTTATTCCGGCGGCTATAACATCAATTATATTGAATTGTAGATTAGCAGTTTATCCCATAGTATGTTTTGCCAACTAAAATTCTTCTTACTTTACTTTTGCACTGCTATGCCGACGATAAGCGTTGCCAGCGCGTGTTGTTGATAAAAAAAAACTGCACATGTTAACAGAATATAGCAATTACTTGTAAATTTCGACTTACTTTATTTTCTTGATGAAAATATGCTCTTCAATGTGTGAAATGATTTTTCGATATGTTAAAAATACAATACTGAATTTTCGAATTTCTATCTCAAATAGTTTTATAGTAACAAAATTCGTTAGTGAAGCAGTTTTGTTAAATCAGTTTAATCAGTTTATCTTTCAAATCGTTTTTCTTAACTTATCACTGCAGCGGTGGGGGAACTTTTTTAGCGTCGCCGGAGATCGCGTGTACTTTTTTCAATAACCGTGAGTACAAATAGTTGAAATTTTTTTTCTTTATATCCCTACCTTTTGAACATTTTTGTTTCCTAGAAAATTCCCAACTAAGGAGGCCTCAAAAATGAAATTTTTTGTTTAAATCGTCTTATTTTTACGCGTAGACTACAAATCCGTGAGCGGAAAGTGAATTTTTTCAATATTTCTATTTTTTTTACATTTTTTCAAAAAAAAAAATATCAAAAAAAAACGTTTTGTTATTTTTTTATAAATATGCATTAAAAATAAAAAATTGTGATACATTTAAATTAATTGTTTTATTTCATTTTTTGAAAAAATCACATATTGTTCAAGTTTTTTGGTGTATTTCCTCCTCTTCTTCATAACGTTTCTGAAAATTTATATTCAAATATCAATGTTAATGCACTTTTATTGTGATATTAATAATAACACATACTCTGCATCGTGATGAAAATTATCATCGAGGTTGAGAGCAGCGAAAAGGAGTTTGACGCGATTGCATTATGAACACCCCGGTTTTGGACCGACCAGGGTTATTTTTTTGAAGCGCGGTCGAAGACCGCCATTGCGGAAAAGAGTTCAACGATCTCCGATATTCGTCCATACCATCAGATCGTGGCGCAAAAGAAAATGTGACTGTTACATTTCTTCAGTATATTTTTTTCATAAGAAAATGTTTAACACGCTTAACTGGTAATTACAGCTAAGTGATCTGAATTCTACAGAATTTTGCCGCTACAACAACAACAACTAAGCGACTTGAATATGTGATATGTGCAAAGTGTGTTAAATAAATTTTGAAAAATATACATAGATTTGTAATCTACGTGTAAAAATAAGACGATTTAAAAAAAAAATTATTTTTGAGGCCTCCTTAGTTGGGGGACCTAAACTATACATTTACCGATTTTTCCATAACCATCTTACCACTAGTAAATAGGTACCAATATTGGTTTGAGTCAAATAGAATCAAAAAGTCATTAACGGATCAATTTATTTGGGCATGGGTGATAAACAAAAACTGAACTCTCTTTTGCGAATTTAATATGTTTCAATATTTATGAAAAAAATTAAAATGTTTTGTGGGTTCGTCACACCCATTTCCACTTCGCTTTATATGTGTATTTATGAACGCGGTTGTCGCTGCCGCTATTTTTACTGTTACTTTCGACATAATAACGATCTAAAAATAAAACAGCACCTGATCGGATGATAAGTACATATGTACATACATACCTGCGAAATAAGTATAACAATACCATAAATATTGGCAGTCATCCCTAGAGCTTGCAACCAATTGCGTGCGCAACCGCAGTTGCACTTGAACTTGCAAAGCCATGCAGATAATTAAGAACATTACAACATTTCCAGCCGCATAACGCCAATAACACAGGCAATTTAAAACAATTTTCCGACGCTTCACCAAGATTAAGATAGGCAGGTCCAATGGAGGGAGACTTACGCATAGGTATGAATGTGTGCAACGCAGTGGCACGTACGCTCATTACCGATCTCGCTCGTGCTACAAAGGCAACAAACAAGCGACCGCAGTAATAAGCGAAACTTCTGCGAACATTCACTTTTTGCGATTTGTCTTCCACATTCGAAATTACCTTGCCTTCGCCGCATCCCAGAAGCCAGAAGCCTTTATGGAGTTTTGAGATGTAAAAAAAGTAAAAGAATTGCTCTTCGAGATTCCTGTCGCTTTGCTCTTAGTTAACGCAGAATCAATTTAGATTTTTTAACTGCTGTCCAATTAGAGAATGACAGTTGGTTTTGGTATAAATAAGTTTGTCCGACCGTGGACAAGACAACAGTACGCTTTGCGACAACCAACGTGTGCAGACCATTTCTGAATAAGTTCTTCATTTGCAAATTTATAAGAGACGAGAAAATGTTCAAATTGGTAAGTGGCACAAACGTACCTCAAAATAGATTAATCGTTAAAACAAACTCTTTTCCGATAGGTGGCACTGTTTTTGTACGTTACCGCCGTTGTAGGCAAAGTGACCGAAAAGCCAGACGTCTTGGATGCCGTAGAAGACACCGAAATTCATTTGGTCCCAACACTGCAGGCAACTTCGATAGTTCAGGAACCCACATTGGCTAGAGTGGGCGATTTGATTCACAGTGTGCCCACCGCTGTTTCTCATCAGAGTTCAACCATTGTTCACGACCGCGCTAATGTAGTCACACCGATTGTAGCACCAGCAGTTAAGACACACATCACACCGCTTATCAACTCGTACGTTTCGCCATTGGCACGTTCTTATCCCAGCGTCTATCCGTTCAGTTACTATTATGACTTCTATCCTTATAGCTACAAGAGTATCTACTTAGCTTGAACTGTTCGTAAAGAATATTAATATATTCATAAAATTGTCCGATGAGAAATTGAGTATAATGACATACGTATGTAAGCTCTTTTTAAAAATAAATGCTTTTAAGATAATTTCATGGATACCCTTTTTCGCCATGCTGAATAGTACGCAGACCTCACAGTTGTCAAAGCGATTTCCAAAAATAACTTTACAGGGCTCAAAGGATATTCTCGATATTATGAGAAATTTAGACATTGCGTTTTAAGGGTTCTATATTATTAGATTCATTGGATTCAACGTCTCTCTAAAAATTCAAACGGACAATATTTTACATATTGTGATGAAGGGAATGACGGATAGGATAAGAATACTAAAGAACTCTTTTAGTTAACGGAGGTCTTATAGTAGATATGAAAGAGAACATCCATAAATATGCTTATGGTGGCTTCGGCGATCATGACTTTCACCGTATGATTTCAGTCTCTTATAAAAATTTAATGTTTTAATATTTATGTGAGTATATGTGTGTGCGTTAGCTTGGTGTTGAAAGGCTTCGTTTAATAGAAACATTTTGTTAGTCATATTATACGAAGTCCTTGAAAAATAACACCAAAGTGTGCAAAGAACGTGGTATGCATTTTCCATCGTAAATCCACTTGAATGAGCGCTTTCTAATTCCAAGTCACACTACAAGTAGAATTATCATAAGAGCGAAAATTAACGGGCAGGTATAAATTGAAGAGCAAAAGTGCAGCGCAACAGCCACACTTTGTGGGCAAAGTCATAAAGTTCCATAATTTGCGTGCGATATTTTATTTTTCGCGTATTTGTTTTCTTTATGCCACATTCATTCGAGCAAAAACGTCGACGGGGTGTGAATTTAACGGCACAAAGCAGACGTAATGAAATGCTGCAATGCAAATACATAGTATTTTCACGACTGACATCGTGTAATCACACACACACACGTGTCACATATGCATGCAACAAAGTGCAATTCGCGGTCTGAATGTATGCGTTGTGGATGAACTTTGCTGCCTATATATACGAAAACATATTTTTTTCGCTAATAAACTGAAGCTCTGGTACATTGACATGTATAACTTTAATGGACCCTGCGGCCTTCGAAGAGAGTCAGCGTTTTTCCCAACGGTTTGCAAGTATTCGAGAATGCTTGTGCGTCGTTAGTTTTTTAAACGAAAGCGCATTTTGTTTGACACAAAAAGTGCTATTAGATATACATATGCAAAGACCTTGGGGTATCCATTTAAGTATTTCTCAAAGAACTCAATATTTGGGCCAACAAAACTGAGTAATAAGACCTGCACCAGTGCATTTTTGTGTGAAAACAGTGTGTATGATTAGTTTACAGACAACCATTCCCAAATTCACAATGCTTGACAAGCTTTTCCCACCAGTTAGTGAACCCGATATAAGAGTGTATTTATTTTTGGATGCCTAATCCCACACATACGAGCACATATGTATGTACTTACACATACGCATGTCCAATAGCAGACATACATTCGAATGAGGTTAATTAGCATAGCTGCCTTAGGTGAATTAATTTGGCCTGTTGCGGAGACAGGTGTCAATTGGCTGTAATGAACGGAAAATTTCAAAATTCATCAGCATAAGTAAAAATACTGAACTAACGGATATCATAAGAATAGGCAGCATTCGAGGATTGCGCGCCTGACATGGATCTGCACAAGTGTACGTGTGCACAAAATCATACGCGCGCATTTAGACAATTCTAAGTTTTCAAAAACCAGTTGCGTCCGCTAATCAACGCTTCTTCATTGCGTCAATGAACACCGTTAGTTTTTTCGAGGGCATTGGTTTTAGTGCTTGCTTGCAATCAAGGTTGTTAGTAATGGATACTACCTACATAAATACTAAACATACATATGTATGTTATTTGGAATCCGCACGATAAAGTTTATGAAGAAGAAAATATCGTGTCTAAGAGTATTCTTCTGTTTGTGGACTAGATAACTGGATAACTGGATTTGTTTATAATTTCAAAAGTTTTGAGAATTGTGCATCGTTCAATTGCTGTGATTATTTAATATCTAAATCTTTTCCAAATGGTTAATTTCCAAAGTAATTGAACTATAAATTATGAAGCTTTAAACTTCATTCAACTAAGGATTTTGTTGTGTCTATAATTTGTAGAATAAACGGGAATTCACTGAAGATTCACAAATATCTGGAGATCTACTCACACATCACTGATAATTTAAGCTAATAGATAGTGGGATAGCTAATAGAACTACTTAAGAAAAATAATTTGTTAGACCTGAAGATTTGTGTTATTTTGCGTTAGATGAAACAACTTTTGGTGTAATAATGAAGCGAGGTGTCTGCTAAACGTAATTCTAACGTAAACCGTTCGCGTACGGTGAAATTGAAATTGGTTTATATACCATAAACATAGCAATAAATAAAATCCATTCACCGACCGACTTCGCGCTTCCCTACCGTATTTTTGCTCTGAAGAAGCTTCTAAGGCTTCAAAAAATTAAATTTCTCCAAATATCTTGCCAGTATTTGACAATGAGTATTGCTAGAACATTGAAGAAATGTTGCTTTGAAGCAACGTTGTCTGTCTCACATTGGTAGCGAGTGACCCAGGTGGTTTGATGTGAAACCGAATTGTGGTTTCCTAATTGAGTTATAAGCAGGCCAATTATGACATTTCCGTGATCATCATCCGTAGCCACAAAGCGTTCGTTGTCTGCTCGTGTGGCGACTGAATGGCCTGCTGCTACGTGTGTTTATATTCGTACAAACATCGGTTATCTTTTGGCTGTTAATACTTATAGACGTGCAAGCAGGTATACATTGTTTTGCAATTCAGTACAAGAGACTACATAAATACGGATGAGAGTATACACGAGGATACACAGCACAAACTGGTTTAAAATCTGGCCAGCATATCAAGTATAATGAATTTTGGTTAAAAATGGAATTATTTCAATCTGTTAAATATCATTTATCCCAGGATGACTGGGTTTGAAACATCTCGGTAGTGTTACCTTCGGCGAACCAGAAGACATAGCCGAAACTGACATTAGCCGTCTCAACAAATTTGTAATAGGCTTAAAGGGTCTTATGATCCGGTATATAGCAGTTTCGAGGTACTACAACGGACCGGCGTTCTAAGCTGTCCAGGTGAGATCCTTGTTATCTTGTCTGTACTAGTATTTATATAACTGGTGTATTTCTGACCGAAAACCATTAGCTGACTGGTTCGCTGACCGACTTGGTGTTCGTCCCAGTTGCAATATACATAGTTTATAACTAGTTCATTTCACTGTAGGATGTCTTTAGTAAGCTCCGGAGGCTGCAAGTGCGCTCATTCATAAGAACAGAACCTAGATGATACACACATCTACCGTTTTGTATATGACAATGTTATTCTGTGTAAAATTAGTAACAGCTCAATTAGGTCGATATGCATAATAAGTTTGTTTGTTGTTTTCAATCTGTCCATTTCCTAACATTGACACAAACAATCATTATTTTGAGAGGGTTGTTATGTCAATGCCGAATTTCATTTGAAGGCCGAAGCGTTGGCATTAAGAAGTGTATAAAATTATTAATAATGGTCAAATACTTGTGTGTGCCATAGTGCGTAACTACTATCCTAAAGGTATTAGTGAGTAGAGGGGACAATGAGTAGCAACCTTGTTCTTTGCGCAACACGAATATTAACTACCAAATGACTTTAATTACTGCTGTGAATAGCTAAAATTTCAACAGAACTATAATGTAACGCTATATTCAGTCTAAATAGCCACAGGATATGCAAAAACTACAACACAATACAAATATCAGAGAATTGTTGTAAGTAATGAAGGTAGCTTCGGTTGCTCAGTTCTGAATTTCGTGATAAATGAGAGGATGGTAAAGTCTTTATTAAATTCTATTCAAACAAGCCACATATGGTAAATTTTCACTTCGAAAACTCCTCACACATTATTTATGTACTCACAAACATATGTGCAGGAAGCCACGTCATTGTTGGTATGGGTCACTTGGTGCTGCAACAGCAGGTTATGCATTTGTCATTTATTGCACTGAATGTTTTGAATACTAATTGCACTAACAAAATTTCTAAATTACTAACTACAAGTGGAGAAATGAAATTATATACTGACACAGGACAAAATTCACATACAAATAAATCATATAATCGTGGGTATTGCCTTTGGTGTATTTTGGTTGTACAGCTTGGTGTGTTATGTTGTATACAGTTTAGAGTTTCACTGTTCAACTGTCTGTATGTATGGTATATGTATTTGTATGTACTAAAATTTTAACAGTTGGTTGTGGTACTTAGGCAAAGCGTCTACTTCTTTTTCAAGGGATACTCTAAAACAAATTCTACAAAAATTAAATGCAGAATTTATATAAAACCATTATTGATGAAAGGTTCCTTATTGGTTCGCATATTTTTCGAAACTAGTCTTATTTTCTATATAGCTAAGAGCGTGTATACTTAATCAACACGTCGCGGCGAAATGAAGTGGAAAAGACAAAAATATATACTTTTCTAAGAGATAATAAAAAATAGCTGTAAGTTTCTTATTTATGGTGTTAATACAAAAATATTATACTATTTTTCTATATTGTAGCTTCTATATATATTTCTTCATTATAATGCCTCCGCTGGCTCCGCGACTTTTGCTTCTTTTTCTCCACATTAAATAAATATATGTCACTTGATATACTATATTATATGAGTATGTAGTAAACTAACTCTATCTCTTCTATATAAAATTTTGAAATCTTCTTAATTGGCCAACCGCATTTCGCTAAACACATCAAATGCCTCTCTTCAGCACCATTGTCCGCCACTATTACCGTTATCGCTACTGATTAGCAACAGTGGGCATAAAATTAGTCAATCATACAAGTAAGTACTCACTGAGTCCCTTTTGACGTCAATCAAGTTATTTTAGAGGCATTTCACCGTTCACAATTTCGCTGATTCCGCTTACAAATCTCTAAGCTACTTATAAAATATTTGTCTTTGTAAGAGTAAGCTTCTACTCTACACTAACCTCACTTCCGTTGAGGACGTTTGCGCAACTTAAGCATATTTTTACT